AAGAGCAGCTGAGCTGACCCTGCGAAGTTCAACCAAAGGCTAGTTTCACAGAGTGATGCGGATTGAGATGGACATTGATAAGCAACATGACAATGATGCCATGTAGGTCTCTCTTTTCTGTTGACCTGCCGTGCATGAAAAGCCAATTGTGCAGGGCCACAGAATTTCAAAGTTACCACCGGATGAAAATGTCAGCATGCTTTCACTTTAACCAGAAAGGCTTCTCATGTATCTTTAAAAATACTGCACTACCAATGTGGTTTTTCCACATCTGAGGTTAGACTGAAACTTGATATGGATGATATTTCAAGGCCACATGAACATTTCGGCAGAGAGTTTGTAAGGTTTGAAATATGCTGGCACATGGTTTATCATTATTCAATGTGTTTTATTTTCATGAATGTAAACAATTTAGCTCTGTTTTGATGGTCTTTTCTGTAGAGCAGAATGCCTGATGAGTTTGTTTCATTGATATCTCAATAGTACCGAATGGACTCAAAGACTGTACAGTACATTAAAATTCTCCATTTGTGCTACAAAAAGCACACATTCCTTACATTCCCAGCGCTATTATCATTATTTGTGGTTAATGGTGCAACTGAAAAGCAATTCAACAGAGAATGCCTGTTGCACTTTAGCAGTTGAATTGTAGGCTTTTGAGATAATATTGCCCTTAGCACAAACTAATTTTATAACAAATTCAAGAGTTGTCTTCAGCTACAAGCATCAATAGTTAACTAAAACTATATCAAAAAGGTGTTCTTTGAAATAAAATAAACTTAACTGAAGTGAAATAGAAAATAATAATAATAATAATAATAATATCAGCTATTTGCCAAGGCAACATTTCTCTCTTCATTTAGTTTAATTGGATGTACTAAAACTAAAACAAAAATTTATAAAAGCTATATAGACATATTTATTAAATGAATGAACGAACGAATGAATGAATGAATTATATATTGAAAGTATGAAAATAAAAACAAATTCAAATTATCAATAAAAACTGTAATAGTATCTCTTTGATACTAAAATAGCTGCTGCCAATCTGAATAAAGCAAATGATAATGCTGGCATGAACAAGAACGACAACAAAATAATGACAAAAGATTAGTCAATTTGTTGTAATTCTATGTCACTGGAAGTCAATCAATCTATCAATGAAGTTTAATATATCATTGTCAAATGACCCTTACCATTATCAAATGACCTGCAAAAGCGATCCATCAGAGAAGGGAGGGACTTCAACTGCTGTTTAACCAGCAAGATTAAGACTTACGAACATTATAATGTCCACAAGGCAACCCTTTATATGTCGGGAGAAATCGAGAGCAATCAGTTACCACGCACATCAGTGTGCTTCATGCTTGAAACCATGGCAGAGACCATCATTTTGTGTCACAGAGAAAAACTGAATGATATTGCATCTACAAATGCATGGTAGACTAACAGTTTTATATTAATTGATGTTGGCCCAACTTGTCTAATTTTAATATTGAACAATGCTGCTGATTTGTTAATGGTTAAGTTCCCAGCATGCACTGAAGCATGAATAAATTATTTTTAGGTTTACTTGTTAGGTGTTGAGTAGGGATGCACAATATACTGGTACCATATCAGTTATCGACACTGGATACATAAGCCAATATTGGATGTTTAATATATATTTGTGCCATTTCACCTACTTTTTAAATTTAGGTGATATTTTCTATCATCTAACGATCACTTAAATCTTTTGAAAATCCCCAAATTATTATGAATATCTATTTTCATACAGTACTCTACATAATAATGTTATGTAGCATTTTAAATTGTTTAATTGTTTTTTTAACCAAATTAGCATATAATCATAATATCTGCAACTTGCAATTGATTATAATATGCAACAAGAAAGATATCGGCCAGAATTGTAATATTGGTCACTATAGGATTTATACAGTTAATTTTGTCAAATATTTGTTGTCAGTTTTTTTTTTTTTTTTTTGTCAACAATTTTTCACCAACGAAAATGAGACGATGAGTAAAAACCAGTTTTGAATGACAAAACTACGATGAAAATCTATTTGTGATTTTCTATCGATCTTTTTGTGAATTGAAAATGTTAGGAAGGGGCGATTTTGAAAGATATCCAATCAGAACTAATCGTCTGCATGGTAGGGAGGTTAGATGTGGACATTTTAATTGTAATGTACTGATCTACCCAGCCATGGGCGTCGCTAGGCCATTTTTAGGGGGGCTATATCCCCCTGGCAAAGAGGTTTGCATACTTGAGTTATGGAAAGAGGATTGTATTAGAAATGCAAACAGTAAAATGTTGTGTGTGTACACAGTAAACAGGTGTGTGTGTGTGAGAGAGAGATCATGAAGATTTATATTTGACTTATTCAGTTATATGTTATACATATATATTGATGTTATATATAGTTTGTTTTTCTCAGCCATGTGCTTCTCCTCCTTGTTTCCTCTTTACCACACCCTCTTGTTAGCCTTGTTGGTCTAATTGTGCTCACCTGTTCCTCGTGTTTTCCTCCCTATTTATAGTGCCCTTTGCCCTACTGTCTTGGCCGGTCCGTGGTTATTCTTTCCCTCACTGTCTCTGTGGATGTGTTCCTGTCTCCCTGTCTGTTTGATCTTGTGCTCTAGTCTTGCCCTAGTCTTGTCTCTTGTAATTCTATGTTCTTGTCTTGCTCCTTGTTTTTGGTCTGTTTTTGTCTTTTTGCTTTTATTTTAGTATTCATTTAGTTCTCTTAGTCCTGATCTTTTGTTTGCATCTTTTGGTTGATATTTAAGTTATTTGTGTTGGTTAATTTACTTATTTAAAAAAATTTTTTTGTCCTTTTTGTTTTGTTTAGTTTATTCTCTTACCTGTCTTGGAATAATTTGTGTTCCTGTGGAGCCATGTTTTGTCTGGTTGTGGTGTTAGTTCCTGTCCTGACATGTTCCTGTCCACTGGTTCCCTTGCCTGGCGTCTGGGGTGCTTCAGAGTTTATGGTCAATAAGTATCTGAGCTCTGCTCTCTGGTGCCTTGCTCTGGTCTCTCCACTGGCCTGGTCTTGCCGCCTCTTCTGCTGCTATAGTATTCTGCCAGTTGATGTCTGAGGCTGTTCCAGTGGCCTTCCCTAGCTATCTCGGTTTACTGTGTTCCTGTTGTGGGATCACCTGTGCACCTCACAACCCTTTTGTATTGATCTGTTTTGTCAATAAACCCTTGTTACTCCCACTGCAATTGGGTCCTCCTTCCAGATCCCTGACAGTTTATTATATTTTATTTAAAAAAAAATTCTCTCAATGTCAGCATGCCTTTTCCGCTGGTCCTTTTTGGTATCAAATTTAAGGCCATAAAAAGTACAATGGGGATGGAAAGACAACTGTCATACAGCCTAATGTGGTGATTAAAATGAAAAAGGCTATGATTTCATTAGATAAATATGAGCGCTGCACATTTCAAAGTTTCTTTATGCAGTTCTGAAAGTGCTGTTTTGTGAAAACCTGTAGGCTATCTGAACTGTAAATCTTGCTTTTTACAGTAATTTTAAAACATTGCCCCACCCCACTCATATAGCATTAATTTGATCTGTGCAGGTCTTAAAAAGTCTTAAATTTGAGCTTAAAAATCCTGCAGTAATCCTGTGCTATAAAATAAACATGATTACATAGACAAGGAAAACAATTCAAAATAAATATTACAAAGGTGTACGAAACTTATATTTTTGTGCAAAAGATAAAAATATTCCAATATAATGTCAGCCATCAAACACTGGACTAGATCCAAAAAAGCAACAGTCTAAACACAAAGAGGTCTGAGTCACCATTACTGCTTAAGTGGACCAAAAAATGATCTGAGTCCTCTTTCAGGAACTGCGATAGTGTGAACACAAAGATAACTGGGTCCTTTTTCGCTTGGTCCACCTCTTGGTCCACTTAAAGGGGTCTGGGTTCGGTTCTTTTAGAGGACTCAAGTGTGAAAACACCCTTAATTGACTCATTTCATGCACCTGTGTTCCCCTGATTGCCCTGTGTTTAATAAAAGTCCCAGTCTGTTCAGTTTGTGTTTGTCTGGTCTACTTGTTGGATGTCGTGTGTTTCCCATGCTCCTGTTGTGAATTATCCCTTGTGATTCAAGTATTAAAGACTGTTGAATGTTTCTCCGCATCTCCATCATTCCTCCCACAGCGAATCATGACAAATATGTCAATATGTTTGTTTTGGTGAGTATTCACTAAACAGTGTTGGCTATGTCTTAAGTGCATGTAATCAGCTGGGAGAATATTGGATGTGTATCAGTATATTGGATCTGTGCATTAAGTCTTAAAGTAAAGAAGCCTAATATACCTGCTACTGTGTGTGTCCATAATGTTAATTGAACAACAAAAGAAAAAGACAATCACTCACTGCTCTTGACTGAATCACTTAAGTAGCTTTAAGAAGGCTTATTCTATATATAATTTATACAAATAAATATGGGTCAAAATATTTTGCATCACAATTCCACAATAGCATTTGCAGGCTTCTATTGGTGGTCTTATACAGAGTATAACACATAAGGACAAAAAGTGAAATTACCCTACTGATCCATTGCTGCAGCTCAGTTAGTCCTCTATTTCCCATGGAACCTTTGTGGGGCTACAAATTATAGTCTGAGGTGCAATATGTTTCAAGGACAAAGGACGGATCAATTGGCTATCTGGGAGTTGGAAATCACACAGCCGACACAAAAGCTGTGTGGTGCCACGTGCATTATAAACCCAAAAGCTGTAAGGAGCCAGCTTACTGCAGCCCCTGGGACATGTGCTGAAGGTGTTGTTAGCTGATTATCCTATTAAATTAATTCAAGAGAACATATTTAAGCAATAGTGAGGCACTCTGAATCATGCCTCATATCCTTAAAGTGTTTAAAAGGTCAATGTTGAGGCAAATTTTTTGACATATAATCTTAGGTTATATTAAATTTTCAGCAATCAAGAAATGTGGCTCCATATGATACAATTAATGTTTCTTACCTCAAGGTACACCACCCAGGGCATAACTAATGTGGCCACGAGAAGATCTGCCACCGCCAGGCTGACAATGAGATAATTAGTGGTAGTCTGCAGCGCTTTCTCTCTGGAGACTGCCATACACACCAACACATTGCCGAAGACAACGACAAAGATGAGGAGAGTCAGGAGCATGGCATAGTAGTTATACTGATGCTTGGCCTCACAGCTTGTGCTGTTGAGTGCCCCGGTCCCGTTGTCATAATAAGTGTCATTGTAGGGATACTCCGTGAGGAAATCCATGAGCTGTGGCCAGGGAAGAAGCCTGAAACTGAGAGACATAATTCACTGTCAGTGAAGCCACAAAAAATGGAATGAAACCAAGCAGTAGTACACCAACACAAAGGAAAATATTATTGATCAGAGGTTGCTCTATCATATCTCAGTAGAGTTTTCGGGTACATTTCATTTATAGCAGACGTGTGTAATTTGCAGGTCATGTTCATCACCAAATGGAACAAAAATTAGGATTGTTTTCAAACAGCTTTCCCAAACACTCCTGAAGTCATAAGTGTGAAATATGAAACTGAAATTTCTGAGTTTGCATCTTACAATTCTGACTTTTTTCTCAGATTTCTGAATTTTCATCTTGCAATTCTGCTTTTTTTGGTTCCTGACACAGAATAAACAATTACAATTGTGAGATAAACGTTTCAATTACCTTTCTTATTATTATTTTTGTATTTATTTTATCCCATGGCATAAACAAACTTCCATGTCCATAGCCCAGATTGGACGAAATTTAATGAGAAAGTTTTGAGTTTATATAGACATCTCAGACTTGTAATAGCATCCTTAATAGCATCCTGGCATTTCAAGTTTGTGATGTTGTCAAAAACTCAGAAAAAATTAGTCTTTTTCTCAGGACTAAATGAAGAAGAAAAAGTCTTCATTTGCTTTTAATCTCACTGCTGTCTATAGGAGAAATAATTGAGATATTAAAGAGATCTCATTTATGTGTTTTCCTTCCCATTGGACGCTCTGTTTAAACCTTGGAACAGGAACAGAACTCAACTTAACAGAATTAATGGATTAAACAGTCATTTAATGAGAGGTCATTTATATTCACACAATGTTTTGTGTCTGTATGAGGACAGATTCAATATGATACAGTTATAAAAGCAGCAAGACACTAAGGAAAAGAAAATAATGAGAACGAGGAATCTTGAGCACTCTTCCACAATATGGGTGACATTGAGCATTGTAAATGATCAATCAGCATAATCACAGCATTCACCTGACACTCACAATCACACCCATCTTCATTTCCTACGTAAAATATTTGAGACACACACACATTACAGAAAATATCTTCTATTCTTCATCCAGTTTCTCCTCTAAGCTCCATAACATTGGACAGCTGCTGAAACATGATTGATTTTTCTGTGTGAATAGTGGCATAATAGCTGTCTTGTATTGATTTGGAATTTACAGAGCAAGATCTATTGCTGCTCCAAAATAAACATCTCAAACCAACAGGAAATAGCAGCGAGACTGAGGATACAAGCTACCAAAGCTTAGGGACAATTATCTCACACACACACACATACATATATACAGGTGCATCTCAATAAATTAGAATGCCTAGGAAAAATTCATTTATTTCAGTAATTCAACTCAAATTGTGAAACTCGTGTATTCAATAAATTCAATGCACACAGATTGAAGTAGTTTAAGTCTTTGGTTCTTTTAATTGTGATGATTTTGGCTCACATTTAACAAAAAATATTTATTAAAATAATGCTTGAATGCCTCATGAAAGTCAAAAATCCAATTACACAAATTCTTGCTTTCTCTAGCAGTTGTTTTGTATGTTGGTTTTGAAAATTTAGTAAATTTTAGTACATTTTCTGTAAGTTCTGTGCTCAAATATAAAATTACAGTATCATATATATATATATATAGCCAATTTTCACTAATATCAGCAAAAAAATTTATATTATAGGTTCCCTTTCAGTCGGTCACTCTCAACGTCACGTCGGTGACCGACGAATTGGCTTTGAGAGACCATTCTTCTTCGAGTGTAACTAAACGAGCCAATGCACATTAGCATGTGATGATTGCATCTAGCTACCGCTGATCACAGCGTGATCCTCTCTGAAGGATTCAGTGCTTTAATCAGAAGCCGAATATTCTAAAGCTCAACATCAATTCAGACTTAAAGAGGGCAAACATTAGAAAACCTGTATAACAGATCAATAATTAAAAGCTTTCTTGTGGTGACAAGTCAGCACACAGAAGGACCATATGTTGCAGTATAAGACACTCACAAATGATAATAGCAAAGTCTAACGAACCAAAAAAAACACAAATGTTCAAGCATCAAGGCAAAAAAAATAAAAAAATCTATATATAGACCTTCATCCTTTTCATTCCCATAGAAAGAAAAAGTAAGACAAAACTACAAAGAAAGAACGGGGAGTAAAACAAATGGCCTTTTACAGAAACAATCTCCCTGCTCCTTTATAGCATCAATCTATATTCGTTGCCCTCCACCCTTACCCAGAATCACCTCTGTGAATGTGTGTGTGACGGTGGTGCCACAGACTCAATGGAGCAAGTGAGGGCCGCTGATTGATGCAAACTGCCTGACAAAATGATGTCTGTGTCAAACACAGCAGAGAGGATGATCCATCCAGCTATGACCCAACAAGAATCAATGAATAACTTCGAACCACTGAGAACCTTCCCTTTGCTCAGGATTGATCATCTGAATTGTTTGTCTCACTTATTTCAAATCCTAAATGACTAGAATGTAATTTGCACATTTTTATGGTATTTTAATTTAAATACTGCCTGTTTTATTAGAAGAAAATAAAGTTATTCAGTCATATTCTGTCAGTGAGTAGTCCTTTCTTGTTGTGCCAGTTTATTACATACTTTTAACAAGAATCAATGAATAACTTCGAACCACTGAGAACCTTCCCTTTGCTCAGGATTGATCATCTGAATTGTTTGTCTCACTTATTTCAAATCCTAAATGACTAGAATGTAATTTGCACATTTTTATGGTATTTTAATTTAAATACTGCCTGTTTTACTAGAAGAAAATAAAGTTATTCAGTCATATTCTGTCAGTGAGTAGTCCTTTCTTGTTGTGCCAGTTTATTACATACTTTTAACATTAATATTCATCAGAGTAAGTTACTGACATGAAAAATATTAGACATACTCTTGACTGGAGATTGAATTGAAAGGCTATATCTTTCAGTAAAAATCCAAATTCATTATATATAAAGTTTGGATTCTGTAAGATTTTTGTCATGTTTTTGAAATAAGTCTCTTTCCAAAGCTGCCTTTATTTGATTAGAAGTAAAGCAAAACAGTAATATTTTTAAATATTATTACAATTGAAAATGTTTCAATTTTAATATGTAATTTATTTCTGTGATGGCAAAGTTGAATTTTCAGCATCATTACTCCAGTCTTCAGTGTCACTTCCGTGATCCTTCAGAAATCATTCTAAGATGCTGATTTGGTCCTCAAAAGACATTTTATTAGTATTATTGTTATCAGTGCTGAAAACAGCTGTGCTGCTTAACATTTTTGTGGAAATCGTGATACAATTTATAGTAATTATTATTATTATTAAATTTTTTTAATTTTTTTAATAGAAAGTTCAAAAGAACAGTATTTCTTTGAAATAGAAATACAGGTCAAGTAACTATGTAATATAAACAGTTAAAAATTGACACATTATTGATGTAACAACTGTGTTGTAACAACTGTACACACACATATATATATGATAATCCATGTATGTCCTTGATCTAAAGTATGACTGGCAGGGCCATGTATTTCGGTGCTCCAGGCCTAAAGTACATCTGTTATCAGGGTTCGACTGCTGTCGGTCTACACTTTGCCTCTTGGCAGGGGTGTAGATTACGCGGGGGACGTGTCCCCCCACTTTTAATATCACGTAAATTCATCCCCGCACTTTTTCGGGCAAGTGTGTTCGCATAGAGGTTTTCAAAAGCCAGTGTGAATAAATATAGATTTAAATTCAAAGAGACAGGATAGTCTGTGCATGATCTGATGTTTTATTTGGAGCCAGAGTAAGGCGAGATGAACATCACGGAGCCCTAATCACTTCATTATACTCGAAGACGGAGGGCGCTTTCACGCAGAAAGTCGTACCAGGAAATTCCTAATATAGACAAAAGCGTCCAGCTATCGCTGTATAAAAACAGTTGTTTTCACAGAAAAACAGAAAGGTTTGGAAACATGAAGACATTAAACATATGATTGCGACACTATATGGTTTATTTGTGTTTTTCAAGTCATCTCTAGGTAATAAATAAGGTAGGCTATATGAACAATGTAGTGCTAATTGACATAGCATTTATTACAGTATAGAAACTATTCTGCCTTATTATGTGATAAAAAAGTGTTTGTAGTATATAACTTCAGTCCATTCCTTGTGAAGTTCACTCAAATTCTTGAATCGATTGTGCTTGACAATCCTCATAAGGCTGTGGTTCTCTCGGTTGGTAGCTGATTGGTATGTCACCATATTCTAATTTGTTGAGATGGTGAATTGGTGGGTTTTTGTTAAATGTGAGCCAAAATCATCACAATTAAAAGAACCAAAGACTTAAACTACTTCAGCCTGTGTGCATTGAATTTATTTAATACACAAGTTTCACAATTTGAGTTGAATTACTGAAATAAATGAACTTTTCCACAACATTCTAATTTATTGAGATGCACCTGTATATACATATATATATATAACATTTCTGTCCCCCTCACTTCTGAAAAGTTGGCTGCCCTTGGGAAATCTAGGGGAGGGCAGAGATGGATTAAGCTTTTGAATCAAAATTAATGCTGAGGAGGAACAGAGGTACTCTGCCTCTGCTAGGTAACAATTAGTCTCAAACATCGTTCACCAAGTAATAGCACGTGACACTTTTATTTGACTGAATGAAGGCTGGTTTCCTGCAGTAGAGGATCTCTGATATTCCGTTGCTCCCTGATTAGTTGTCTAGTTGGATACAGTATTTGACTATGTTTTTCATGGCCAACGAGCTGTGTTTCTGACAGTGTATGATCGTGATCACATAAATGGGAGCTGACCCCCCAGACAAACCAGTGGCTGGTAAAGTATCACAAAACACAGTGGGACTCCAGCAATAGGATAGTGTGGAAACTACAGAGAAAAAGCAATTTTAGTGTCATTTTCTTCATATCCACCCCCACCCGCAATAAAAGTGGTCTTTTCGTGATACGCACTTGACATATCATGGGGGGAAAAGATTGTATTGCAATTTC